GCCCAGGGAGCTGAAGCAAGCAGAGGCGCCTGCCATCTGGAGCTGTCACTGGCATGGATTACATCTCTCCTAACAGGAGAAGAGGGAGGAAAGGTCCTCTCTTGGACCCCCGTTTCATTGCGTGGCGGCTGTGCTGGTGCTTTATAACTTCCTTCCTGGGCTTTGCGTGTCATTGTCAGACTTTGTGAGAACTCCCCTGAGCTTTTCTGAAGATGTGAAGGAAGGCAGAGGGCCACTGTCCTTCACCAACTGCTCTCTACTGCAGCCAGAACGTGATTATAAACATTTTGCCCAGCTCCCTCCCATCCTCAACCTACCTCACCTCCTTCTGGAGTGGAAAGTTTCCCCCAAAGTCCTAAGGCTCAAGGGCATGGAGGAGAAGGGCTTCCCAAGAGATGGATTTTGGTCATTTATATGGGAGGGTTTAGCACCTGCATGCCAGGCCGATTGTTATTTATATCCACTCAACCTCCTTCTGCATCTACATCTGTAACCAACAAAATCCTGGTGGAAAAACACAGCAGGAGCCAGACACAACTGGGTTTTGTTTGTTTTCTTTCTTTTTGTTTGGGATGTGAAGTTTTGCATGTAAATCAAATAGTTTGCTGGAAAAGTCATCCCCTGAGCAAATACCGTCTGCTTCCTGAATATTGGCAAGAAGGAGAAAGTGCTTTGTCTAGAGAGAAGAGGACCCCCTACCTTAGAACTAAAAGCTCAAAATTAAAGTCAGAGTAAAGCAATGTAGGTCCCTCTTCCTACTTGTTTTCTGTCACATATCACTCCCAAAGGTTGCTGGGTGATTCTGACAGGAGCCAGGACTCCTGAGTGCTGCTTAGGCATTCTTGCCCTGACCCTGTGCAGGCGATGATGTGTAAATTGCGGCTATCTTCAAGTTTCAATCCATAGGACATTAGGATTATTGTCCCTTCGGTTGCAGAAAAGTGAGAAGGTGTGCCAGGGCTATGCACTCAGAGAGAACACAGTCTCCTCAGAGGTTCCATGCTGAGTCTGTGAGTCAGGGAAAGTGGGGGAAGGAGCTGCATGACCCCAGGGACCTTCTGCTGGAGTGTCCTTTTGCTCCCGGACATTGCTGTGGCCCAAAAGCATGTCTGGCGGGACTGTGAGGAAAGATCCATTGTTTGAGGTGCCAGACCTGGAGCGCTTGCTCTGAGGTCCACTCCTTCCTTTCCTCCTCCACGGTCACGGGTCAGGGTGAGGAGAGTGTGCAGAAAGGAGTCAGCCCAGCAGACATGGCCCTGCTACCCTCAGAAAGGCCTCCTTGCAAGGCTGGCCCCTGGCCGGTGTCTAGGAACTTGGGTTTCAGGAGTCGTCCCTCCGATCCCTAACTGATAGCATGGCTCGCTGCGCCTACACGGTTTGCACAGACAGTGTGGCTTATGGTGAACACTGGCCACCTGCTTCCCTTCAGAGAGCGTGGTGTTTGGCACGTGCCTATGTGACCAACCTCAAATGAAATCCTGGGCTCGGTGTCTCTAAGGATATCCCTGGCAGACAACATTTCACACATGTCACACCTCTTTGCTGGGGGAGTTGAGCATGTCCTGTGTGACTCCAATGGGAGAGGACTCTTGAAAATGTGTGCTGGGCTTCCTCCTGTCTTTGTCCCATGTGCTTTTTCCCTTTGCTGATTTTGACTTGTATCTTTTCACTGAAATAAATCATAGCTGTAAGGATGACAGCCTGGTGGATCCCCCTTGTGAATCGTTGAATGTGGGGGTGGTTTTTGGGACACCCCCCTCCAATATAGGTGTGGTGGTGCCAACTGTGCAGGCTGTGTTTCCCAACTCCATTGTCAACTGATTGTAGATGAGCATAGCAAATGCGAGACAACGGAGGGGGAGGCAAGCTAGGATCATTCTTCCCTCCTTTTGACCTCAGACAGTGATTCATGTAATAACTGAATCTCAGACGATCCCAGTCCTTGCCACATAACCCCAGCCCCATGCTGTGATGACACCGAACTCCCTGTGCTGCTGCTAATGGCTGAGTTGACTCAGCTTCCCTTGTTTGGCTTCTTGTCTCTTCTATCACCCATGTGAAATTCCCTCTTTCCTCACAAAAATACCTAAAATGGTTTTTATTTTCCTGGTTGGACCCCACCTGCTATATTTCTTAAATACCTACATTGTACCACCTCTGTGCCAGGCAAAGGACATTCAGAGATAAAAGATACTACAGACCTTAGTGCTTCTGCAAAAGTCATATTTCCTGGCACAGCCCAAGGTTCATTGCATGGCAAGCAAACTTTGTTCTGATTTCTAAGTCACAGGATGGTGAAGAAGGGTTCTGTAACGTGGATGGTCTTCAAGCACGTGCTAGGGCTTGGCACACTCAGACGCTCTCTGATTGACACTATTTGTTAGGCACAAGTAAAGTCTTTTCACTTTTAAGGCTCCTGGGTTGGTAGTTTGGAAGAGTTAAGAAGTTAACCAGCATGTGTCACAATAATCAGCAAGTCTTGGGCCAAGAGTGACACTGGGGTGGAGGCTGTGAGGGTGACAAGCCTGTCCTGCAATTCTCAACATGGCCAGGAATCCCAGGGGTTCCTGGCAGCTGAGCAACCTAATCTGGAGGGTATGAAGCTGACCACTCTTCCCAACCCCACATGGGCCAGGGTTGGCAGGATCCAGCACACCCAGGCTTGATGTTTGTGGTGACACTTTCCCTAGGGCTTTTCTCTACTACGCTGCAAAGAATATGGGGAGGATGGGCTCTAAGTAACCGAATGGCCTGCAGTATCTTCTTGGGGAGCTCTGGTTGGATTTTCTACTCTCTAGTCTAGTGAAGGGGCAGCCCAGGAAACCAAAAATCCCCTACAGTGTAAGAAGCACATCACCAGGCAAGCTCCTTGCAGGGCATCTGAGCAACTTAAGTTGAGATCTGGAGGGTGAATAAGAAACAGTCTCATGGTGAGAGGAGGGGAGGGAAGGGACACAAGGTAAGTTCATTGCAGCTGGAGCATAGAATGGGGTGAACAGGGTGTAGGTGGGGTGGGGGTGCCAGAGAGAGTAAGAGAGATGGGGCTGCAGAGTAAAGCAAGGCCTAGACTGTGTAGGACTTGTCAGCTGATGCTTGGAATTTTTAGTAAAAGCAAAGAGAAATAGCAACATAAAGGCTTTGTTCAAAGTATTTGATTTTAGATTTAAGCTCCACAAAGCTCATTCTGACTGCCTTGTGGAGAATGGATTAAAAGGGGTAACGGTATATTCAAGAGATGTTTAAGAAGTAGAGTAGAAAATACTTGTTGAAGGTTTGGATTTGGGGGTTGAGAGGACAAGAAGGGAGTGTCAACAATGATGCTACATGTCTGGCTAGGCAACTGGTTGCAGGGTGATGGCATTCATTGATATAGAGCAGTGGTCGGCAAACTCATTAGTCAACAGAGCCAAATATCAACAGTACAACGATTGAAATTTCTTTTGAGAGCCAAATTTTTTAAACTTAAACTATATAGGTAGGTACATTGTTATTAACTTAATTAGGGTACTCCTAAGGCTTAGGAAGAGCAACACTCAAAGGGCCAAAGAGCTGCATGTGGCTCGCGAGCCGCAGTTTGCCGACCACGGATATAGGGGACTCCTGGGATGAGCCAGGTTTGCAGGGAAAATGACACATCTCATTTTAGATATGATGAATGTGAGTTATTGTGACATGCCAAGTAAAGATGGCTGGTAGGCAGTTTGGCATTTTGTAAAAAAAAATCATGGCTAAAGACCTAGATTTAGTTGTCAGGACACAGATGGAAATTGACGACATGGGAGTTGCTGAGATGACCAGGGGCGCTTGCGCAGCGCTGAGGACACCCCAGAGAGTTCAGTGTCTCCGACACCAGGGGAGAAGACCAACAAAGCGAGAGTGGGCATCAGAGTTCAGTGTGTTTGAAGGTTAAGTACATGAACATGGAATCCTGTCCTTTGGACTTAGTGGAGGCCATTTAACTGCAGCTTCCGTAGAATGATGGGGCAGGAGCCGGGTGGCAGAAGCTTGCAATGAAGAGAAGGAGAGAGAGGAGAATACTAGCTGGGTGGATGTGGATGAAGAAGGGTTTCAAAATTACAGAAGAGTCTTGACGTGAAGCTGTGCACGTGCTGCTGGGAAGCAGCTGCTGAAGGGCAGGAGCGAACGCTGCAGGAGGGAGAATGGCTGGACAGGACAGCAAGGCCTGGAGAAGAAGGGGCCTGGAGCACAGCAAAGGGGACAAGGCTCACCTGGCCATGGAAAAGGGGGGTGGGAATCCATCCCACTGTAGTAACAAGAAAGAGGGGAAAGATGTATGAGGTTGCAGGTAAGTTCATAGGTTTGGCAGCAGAAAATTGAGAGAATGCCTAACAAAAATGGCATCTTTCCTTTTCTCTCCCTATGAAATTAGACCAAGGTGAGGGTTAGAAATTTGGAAGCAGTAAAAAGAGGGTTAGAAATAGCCATGACTTAAAATAGGAGTATTTAGAGATACAAAGACTCAGAAAAAAATATGGAAAATTTTAGAAGAAAATTTATTTTTTTCCCAATTAGTTGAAGATAAACCAAAGTGGTTTTCCAAAAAAAAAAAAAGTGTTATTTTCTAATTTTTGTGGCCCTCTTAAAAGTATTTACTCACTTTCCCTCTGCCTGGGCATGCCCTCCTACGGGAAGTGTGTGGTTCGGTGTTGGCTGTGGCTCTGTGGATGGTTCAAGAACATAGGCCATGTCCCTCAGCTTTATTTATACAAGAAGGACATGGGCTCTTGCTTTACGTGTGGTCACAGCGGTCTGTGACCTGTCTGCTGAAGTGCAGACCCTCCTGTCTGCCAAGCCCCACCTGCCTGGATGGCAAAATCCAGACCCTTCCCTGAGGCTGACCTAAGGGAAGGGGGCGGGGTCAGGCTGGCACTGCAGGGTCATTAGCTGATCCTCCTGGCCACCAAGTGAGGAGGGGGCGGCACAACTGGAGGTGGGCCTGGTGGGGAGAAGTGGGCTGGGAAACTGAGGGTAAGGGGGTGCTGGGAGGGACGAGGGGTGCCTGCCAGAAGAACAGAGCAGAATGGCAGAGTAAATAGAAAGTCCCGAAACCGCTCACTTGCTCCAGCTGTCAAGAAGGGGAGGAGAAACCCTGTGGGACTGGGGAGAAGGGAGGGAGCTGTTAGGAAGTTATTTAAGAGCCAACTTTCTTGTCGTTTCTTCCTGCGTCCTTTTGAGGAAGTACCCTAGAGACACACAGAGCCAGCCTGTGCTAGGACACCTCAGGCGGGGACCGCAGGTAAGCAGCCGGCCTTCCGGCCAGCATAGGCTTAGCCCCGCACCCAGAGGCTCCCCAGGGCCTACTGTGTCCACCACCCCCCAAGCTGGGTCCCTCAGGGGGCTGCTGGGAGTGCCAGGAGCTGGGGTCCGAGGCAGCCCCACTTGAGCCATTGCCCGTTCTTGGCCCCTAGCTCTGCACCTACCTGGCCTTCTTCTGAGCGGGACTTCTCTCAGGTACCCCCTGAAGCTTTCTTGAAGGCACTGATTGCTAAGAAGGCCACCCAATGGGAATGGGGGGTTGGGGTCTTCCTCAGGGGAGCAGGCTAAGAAGAAGGGACACAGAAGGTTGGAGGGAGGAGGAAGTAGGGCTGTGTCGCCATGTGGGAGCTGAACTTGAGCACCTTCCCCTCCCCCAGACCTGGGAGCAAGGGGTGCTTCTGTCCACCTGCACAGGCGCTCAGGCCTCTGCTTTAGGGGTTCTCTCTCTCAGTTGGTAACTGCATAGTTGCATAGTTCTGTGCTCCCCTAAGCCCTCCCCTCCCTCAGGGACCCCAGCCTCCTCCCCTTGCTATTTCCCACCAGAAGTCTGCTGTTTCCTGCCTTCTCTCGCCTCCCTCCCTGCCTCCCTCGTTCACTAGAAACTGCCTGTAAATATGCCTGCAGGTATTTATGGCTGCCTGTTCCGACCTTATACTTCCAAACAGATTCTCTTGTTTCCGGCTGTGTTGCCTTTACTCATCATGTTCTGGAACAGTCTCCTCTAGTTGCCTCTGTAACAGTGGCTCCTCATCTTTGGAGGGTGTGCCTGTTTTTTTCAAAATAGCCAAATCACCGGGAGTCATGATTGTGTAATCCAGGTGATCAAGGGACGCTTCACTGGGGCCAGAAACAAGGTCTCCCTTCATTTGGTCAGTTGATCAACAAGTGCTTTTTGGGCACTGGCAGTAAGGTGTGGCGTTCACACTGGCTCTGCCTGCACACACTCCAACGGAAGGGAAGCGGGCTTGGAGCGAGGGCAGTGCCCCCACCGCTGACCAAGTAAACTAGAGAATGGGCTATTTACAGCCCTATCTACGATTGCACTGGTGCCTCCCTCTCTCTTGCCCAAACTCTCCATCTCCCATATTCTATTCCTTGTGATCCTGGAGCCAAAGCAGGTACCACCTTCTCACACCCTGCCCAGTTTACTTCCAAATTTTGTTGTGCTGGACCCCAACCACCACTAAACCAAAAGCTCCCCAAGGCAAGAATCCTTCTGTCTTATTCCCTGAGGTGTCCCGAGTGCCCAGACCACAGCCTGGCACATGGGGGGCCCTCAATAACTATGGGTTGAATTAAATTGCAAACACGAATGCTTGGGAAGGCGCCACTTACCTGCACACGGCTGTCTGAGTTTATTCTTCAAAGTCTATACGAAGTGGGTGTGTGTACATGCACAAGACAGTAAACATTTCTTACAAACATGTCTAACGTTTCTTACAAAATATTGCTTTAGGGGCAAGAGAAAAAACACCTTGCTCCCCAAACCTGTTACATTTTTTCTTTCTTCACATCAGCCCCCTTCCTTCTGCTTTTCGTATGCTTTGACAAATCTCCCCGAGATCCTCGGGGAACTCTACTCCGTCGTTAGACTACCCATCACTGCCACTTCTCAGTTTTTATTTATGTGAAACCCAAAATGTGCTGCTCAAGTGCTATCACACAGCTACGTCTGCGTCTCTATTTTTAATCCTTGTGTCAAATGTAACTGGCTTCGCATTCCTTTTCTGTGTGTCCCTTTTCCCCCCAAGGACTCGAGAAACTGAAAATGACGGAGACCCCCAGGCCCGCCTTTGGAGGCAGGAGAGCTGTCCCCCTCAACAACTCCAATGCTGAAGAGAACAACCCCCCCACTGAGGAGCTGCTGGGCCTGGTGCCCCGAGGTGTCAACCTGCAAGGTACAGGCCCCTGTGCCCAGGCACACCGCCTGGCCCTCCCCCCCACAGGCGCTGGCTCAGCACCCTCTGTCTCCCACAGAACATCTCTGTTTTAAAGAAAGGCATCCAAAATCCTCATCTGAGTGGTCAAATCACTGAAGACCTCATTCTTGTCCCAATTCTGCCACTTAATAGCTTTGTAATCTCAGGGACGGCACCCCTAGGAAGCGAGGGCACAGTAGTGGTCTCTTCCAGCCTTACCACTCTGTTTTTAAGAATGTTCTCTAGCTGGAAGTTTCCACTCCCAAATATTGTTGCTGTTTTGATTGTCTGGCTTGTGCTACCTTCCTTCTCCTCCTCCCTCCTCCCTCCTCCATCCACTGCTGTGAATTTCAGAGCTGGCGAGAGAGCCAGCCTGACAGTAATGGAGATGGAAGCCCTCTATTTCTCTCCAGAGCAGCCCGGAGGGCAGGCGAGGCAAGCTGCTTTCCCTGCTCTGGCCCCACCGATCCCCAGGGACCTGCTCTGGGAGCAGCAGCCAGCAGCTGACCTCCCCTCAGCCCTGTCAGCTGTGACAGGGCCCAGGTGCCACCGGTGGCTTGGTGGCATAGACACCATTCTCTTGGGCCAGGCAGGGACATTCAGACCCTTGTTCCTGAATGGCATCCAGCAGGGAGCACTTTTTGTTGGTAGCACACACGTACCAAGACCCACTTTTCCTCCTGACGGTGCTCTGTGTCTGGTTCCACCTGGGGGTAAACACCCATTTGCTGGGCTAGGCGCCCACGGTCACCCGGGGGCTGTGTGGTTAAGCCGCCTCCTCAGAAAGAGCCCAGCAGTTGAAAGCAAAGGAAAGCACAGTGGTCATTCCCATAGTCCAGAAGGTCAGACGCCACCTGACTGTGCCACCCTCATGTCCAGATGATTTGAAATCCAACTGTGAAAACAGAGATATTCAGTACCATCTGTCAGGTACCATCCAAATTTGGAGGAGGGTCTTACAGAACAGAGGGCATCTTTAGCTGGGTAGAAGAACCACGCAAACTTGTAAACTTGTGGTTGTGGGTTCTCTCTCCCAGCGAGGGGCCACACTCTCTAACTCTGCACCATTAGAGCCACAGAACTGAGTTTAAAAGGACTGCTGCTCAGCTCATCTAAGCCCCCAGGTTATAGGTTAGGAAACGGAGGCCAAAGCTAGAAATTGATGTTCAACTCCTTCACTGCCCAGAGCAGGAGTCTTTTTTTTTAAAATTCAAATAAGTTGGAAATGTGCTGATGCCAAATTATCAAGCAGGTTACCTTGATGGATTCAGTTTTCTAGCAAAATTCCCTTCTGGCAGAGAAGCCCGTGGGCCCCGGGGCAGGGTGCTGGAGGAAGTGGCAGAGAACAGAGAGGGGGAGGCTTGGCCCATCGCTGAGGACTGTGAGCTGCACAGAGGCAGTGAGGGAAGTTCCTGTTCCACAGCCGCCCCTCGCTGCCCTGGGACTCAGGGCAAAGTCATGTAAGTGCCCCAGCCCCAGTGTTTCCATCAGCAAATGGAAGCAACTTCACAGTTGTCATGAGGATCAAATGGCCAGTGCCTGTGAGAGTCCCTGGCCCACAGCGCATGACCAATAAATGCTCACTGGTTTAGAATGTCCGTTATCACACCCTGCACGGTTCCTAGGGGGAATATGTACAGCCTACTCTCCTGTATATCTGAAACTTGAACAATATGTTGTCAGTGAGGAATCAAAACTGCCAGAGAACTTGAGCGTAGAGGTCAATTTTTAAAAAATCTGGTTTTACTGGTTTTTTTTGGTTATTTATTTTTGGAGGCAGAGGTGAGAATTATTTTGAACTAAATTATTTTGAAAAAATCTGTCCTTACTTGCTTGGTAGTCATATGTCCACAACCAAGTGACATTCTGGGATAGTTTTACAGACCCTGGCATAGGACTGTGAGTTCCCAATGACTGTTTGTAGAATGAACAGTCAATGGCTTGAGAATTGAATGACTCAGCAGCCCTGGAGTCATTATAATCCTATTATTAATAACAGCTTCCAAATTTCATAAACATGCACCCACTTACTATTTCTCACACAGATGAGCTAAGTGCTACATGCTATGAGGGTAGGGTCTCTGAACCCACAAAGCAGAATAATAAGTCCCAGATGAGTAAGACAGAAAAAAATAACAGCATATAGATCATCTGACCAAGTAAATCTATCTCTTAGTTATCTTTTGCATTTCAAATTTCTGTTTAACTATGCTAAAAGGGTCTTCTGGCACTAAATATATCCATTTCTCCCCATGTGTCTAAATGCCATGTGTTAAAAATGCCATCTCCTTGCAGTTCACCCAGTGGCACTAGTGGCTCCAAGAGGACTTGTATCTCCCTGACTCCCTATCTGACCATGACTTTGGCTCCAGGCACGCAAAGCCCTAGATCAGACTCTCTCTCCTCACTTATTTCAATGGAAACTTTTTTCTAAAGTGTCCCTTAAGCGAGCTGCTCTTGTGTATTGACTGACAAAGGCAGACAAGCAAGAGGAGAAAGGGCGGGGCGGGGTAGGGGGAGGAGATGGCAGATTTTTAATAATCCTATGGCAGTCAATGTATAAATTATACACTGAATGGGTATAATACGTTTAATTCACAGCTTGCATAATTATTTGGCTAAGAATTATTTAGCCTATAACTCAAATGTATAAACTTAAGTAAGTTTCCTCCCATACAACAGCACAATATTTAAGAAAAATTGAAATATTTGAGGTGACAATGGAACCTTGGAAGTGGGGTCAGTCAGGGTGTTTGATGTCCTTTGTGTTTCTAAGGATCCTTAATGCCCCCCTTTGAACTCAGTTATAGCTGAGAAAAGTATGTGAAAATCTCCTTAGATTGTTGGAATTTGCATCTATTCCTAATAGACTGTTCTGTATGCACTGCTGGTGTTTCTGAAAAATCACTCCATAACCTTCTTGTCTCAAAGGTTATTTTAGCAGGAGATGTAATGTTCAGGATCATAACCTTATATTCTTGGGCTGGTTTGACTCTGTATTATTAACAATAGGTGATCGTTTGCAGGAGTAAACATAACACTAATTTGACAGGTCTAATACACTGAATTCAAACTGGAAAGCAAGTCTAGATCTATTTTTAAAAATCAAATGCAGGCAGAATCTAGTATTTATTAGCTTAATGAGGTCATGTGTCTTTCTGAGCATTTCTTCCCTCCCACTACTCCAAGCCAGAACTAAATCAACTAGTTAACTGGTTAATTATCAACCTGCCCTTTGTGCAGAGTAAACCTCTCTGGATTCAAGGTGATTGAAAGACTAAGAAAGGCATTCACAGGATGATTAAGAAATGATGTTGCATAGAAACAGTTCATCCTCTCATTTGGTTTGAGGAAAACCACTTAGTGATGACCACCTATGTGTCAGGAGCTACACCACACTCTCTGGCGTCACAAAGATGAGTAAAACAGTCCCTGTTCTCAAGCATCTCTCCATCCGGTCGATGAAACAAGTTAAAAGAATGACTACTAGTGTCAGTGGAGAGGAAAGGAGGGTGAGAGAGATGAATAGAAGTGTTCCAGGTAGACAAGCGCATGGGATTCTATTTATAGCCGAGGGAACAGTATTTGTCAAGTAATGAGGACAAGGGAGGGAAGATGAGCCTGGGACAAATAGGCAGGCATCACACCGTGACAGGCTTTGAAGACCTTACTTTTCCTCCTGCTTGCAAAGAATTCTAAATAGTGAAATGGCATAATCAGAATGATCCTATCTGATAAAAGAATGATATGCAAATTAACCATCACTTCACAATAAAGATGGTGGCGCCCAGAGCCAATAAGGAGGGAATATGCAAATTAATGTGACAAAGATGGCAGCACTGGCCGGAGCCACGGAGCCGGCCGGAGAGCGGGCAGGAGGCGGAGGTTGGCTTCCTTGGTCGCCCCCAACCGGCTCTGTGGCCACCGCCCAGACAAAGCCATAGTGGCAGGGCCGAGGCAGAGGTGGTTAGGGGCAATCAGGTCAGGAGGGGAAGGCTGTTGAGGGTGATCAGGCCAGTGGTGGGGGCAGTAGGGGGCAAGCAGGC